TCTGAGCATAAGAAGTACGGGACGAAGCTTGAGAGAACAGTTTCCGGGTGAAAACCCTCTGAACATTTTTAATCTTATAACGGTCACAGGCGTTCATTAAACCGAAGAAAGGACAGCAGTATTCGAGGAATGGAAAAACAAACATTTGATAAAGCCTTAGCTTCTTTTCCGGAAGGTAAAATTATTCGATATGAATCCATATATCTGTGCGGCCTTGGTCGGGATCCTATTTGCATGAGGTGATAAATCAAGTTTATTTGTATAAATTAAAACTAGGTCTTTTATAGTGAAGCATTCTGAGAGTAGATTATTCTGAAAAATTATGGGACCAGGAAGTTTGGCAGGACCAAAAGACATGAAACTACACTTGGATGGTAAAAACTCCATCTGCCATTTTGAACCCCATCTGCTTAAGCGTAGTAAATTCTCATTAATTTTTTCAACAAAAGCGTTTGCGGTGTCCTTAGAATATGAGTAAACACACTTAAAGTCATCGGCATAGACAAAAGTTGGCGAATTACTGAGTTCAGTCAAATTATCATTGATGTAAAGCAGGAAGAATAGCAGAGTCAGGAGCGTGCCTTGAAGTACGCCACTCGTGATCGAGTGAGGTGTCGAGTAGCTGTTACCAACAATGACTTTCTGATGTTGATTGAATAGATAGGGCCTGATGAAATCGGGTAGAGGCGGCCGGATGCCTAGAGATTTCCATTTTACTAAAAGACGTCTATGGGGCTCCTTGTCAAGGGCTCTGCTAAGATGGAAGTAGATAACTACCACTGATTGCTGTTTATGGCAAAGAGAAGTGATTAGATTAAGAAAGGCCGAATGGCAAGTTTCGCAGGATCGTTCAGGTAAAAGTCCATGCTGACTAGAGCTCGGAAGCCGATTAGCTAGACAGAAGTCAAGAATTTCATTGAAAATAATCCTTTCAAGAAGCTTTGCTAGAGGCGGCGTTTTGTGCACGCGCCAATAGTTATTTACATCGGACCGAGATCCAGACTTGTAGACAAGAATGATAATTGACGTTTTCCATGTTTCAGGAAAGAATCCTTTTGAAATATAAACCGAGAATAAATGACTAAGCAATGTGGGAAGGTCGGATGCCTGTTTAATAATCGAATTTGGAATCCCGTCCGTTCCTGAGCAGTGTAAGTATTTCAAACGACTTATGTGTTCCTTACTAAGATCTGAGGAGACATCGATTGTACTCGGTGTCCTATCTGAAAGTAAATGAAGGAGAGGGACTAGTTCGGACTCAGTATTAAGGTTTTTGCAAAGAAAGCACTAACCAACTCCGCCTTGTCAGTGTCATCGATGAGGAAGACTTTATTATCATTTATCAGGGGTGGAAGTTCGTGACCACGCTTAGAGGAGTACTGATGACGGAAGATGTTAGTAACGAAGTTTCCAGGGTTCGAGTCACTGAGAGCAAGTGATTCTCTTTGCCTGTCGCGCGCTTCGCGCGTCCTTGAGGCCATTTCAGAAATCTCTGCGATTCTAAGGTGAACGGATAAGGAACTAGTGGATAGGTCACGCAGCTGCCGTCTCAACTTTTTCAGTCTGCTGTAAAGAAAATGAGGAACGAGGGAGTCTGAAGAATTAGGCTTGAGATATGTACGCGGCACAAACTCTAGGATGCCCTTGTAAACATTGAACATGACAGGCGAAGAGGACACACCAATCCATAGATCTAATATAGTTATTTATTAATTCGTTATATACACAATCGTAGTTTATGTAAGTCCGAACGGTGCTGGTCTTTTTTGAAAGACAAACGGTAAGCAACAATGAATTAATACATGGTCACTGCCAAAGAGGTCCATTTTGAAAGCAACAAAAAGAGGGGCAATGTCATTGGTAGGGATTAGATTCATCGTTTGCTTATTGTATATCAGCAGATCTTCTCCAACTTTACGGTGTAAAATTTAGGTTCCACAGCTAATTGTTGACTTTCAGCCTTCTCTTTCGGCGTGCAGTCTTGCTGATAAACACCGCACATGGTGTCCTTCCTTCTGAAGGGTTGTGAGACAATAAATCTAACCTGTTCCCGACAAGCCAACGGCATTTTGAGATTTCTAACACGTGCGAACTCTACTATGCCAACATCAAGACTTCCTGAGTAGTCTGTAGACAGTTGATAGGACAGCCTTGGGAGCCCTCTAGGTCTGCCGACACTCGCTCCCTGGAAATACTGACCTTAGATTAAATCAGGCGAATTTACTATATCATCGTATTGGATTACAGGGGCCGGATAACGCTGACGAACAATTCTGCGTCTACAGCCGGGAGTACCAG